GTTCAGCTGTACTTTTAAAATCAGATGCATCTGTTGGGCACTTTTTGGTTGCTTTGTGGAAGCGCTCTGCCCAGCTCTGAGTTGGAGACAACCTTCGGCTCAGCCTAAGTATTTGGAGGACTGGTATTCTTGGCTAAAGGCTGGCTGAATCCTACTGAGGAGTGTCCACAGCCTCAAAGACTTGCAGCAAAATTAACCCTACGCTGTTCTTCGCAGCTGAACTGTACCCACCAGCCTGCGCCTGCGACGCCGAGCCTTGTCACCACCAGCTTGTCACCACCACTAGCTACAATGAGAGACTGAAAAAACTCAGAGCTTATCAAAAAGCGGCCTGTGACATGACTTTACGCCGGATGAAGGCTGTCCCAGCAAGGAAGCACTGGGTACTCACTCCACTTTTATCTAGGGAAGAAAGGTGTAACAATGACAGGCTGCAAACTGAAGCCAGGGAAATTAAAATGAGAATTGAAGCACTGGATTTTAAAGGGCTGGTAATTATTCACGAGGACAAACTTCCAAGAAGAACAGGGGATTGTGGAGGTTTCAGATCAAGCCCAGCTACATCCCTAAAAAAAAAAATGTTGGAGCTCAAACAGCACATCAAGCATGCTGGAGAGATTCTGTGGCTGAGGACCAGTAGGACCAGACCCAAAGCCAGAAGTAGGGTTTGTGCAGGCAGTGAGAAAAAGATTTTCACTGTTTTTATTCTCCGTGTGATGGGTTGGGGGACATGGGGCTGCTGCTTCCAAGATCTGTCAGGGTTTCTTACATCCAGTGACAAAACAACATGCACTGCAAGAAAATGGGTCTCGTACCTTGAAAACTGGAAATCGGTTGCTGCAAGAGTCAGCACAGGGAGAATTTGAAGGCAGATCACTCTGTGGAAGTGCAGAGGGAATTTATTTCAAAACTAAGGTGAAAACTGAGAAGATCTGGACAATTTAGCCTGTGTTCAGACCCCACCACTGCTCTGTGATGGGAGACAGATTGCAAATTTCCATCAGAAAGTTACTTACAGTTATGGGTTCTGTAAAGAAACTATTTTATAGTGTCTTAGCTTCTCTTTGTCAAGGCGTCCGGTGGTGCTCTGTGCATGTTTGTGCAAAAAAAAAAAAAAAAAAAAGCTTCTGTGCAACCCCAAACAAGCATATGTTTAAACAAATGAGTGTTGCAGCACTCGAGAAGAGGTTTCCAGCATGTGTTAGCGACCATGCGTGTGCTGGAACATACAGCGCTCCCAGTATCTTGTCTGCATTTCAGGGGCTGATTCATGCCACTCCCAGCAAAATTCTTCCTGGGGTGGCTGCGATCGTCACTGCTTTGTCATGGGATGGGAGGCAAATGCTGTGTATTAGAAAGGAGAGCAGATTGCCTCTCTTGTACTTAAGTGAAAATATTATTGATTCACACTTCTGTGTAAGCGAAATCAGAATCTCCAGCTGCGAGCTCGCAGCCTGAATCTAGGAGCCATCACAGAGCAAAATCTCCCCACTTCTGCCGCAGCTCAGGCAGCTTTTCAAAAGGATCCGCTCGCTACTGCAGGTCCTGGAAATATGTCAGAAGTGGGTTGATTTCTTCTCGTTGGTCTGCTCACTGTACCCCGTGCTTACACAGCCATCAGGATGGAGATGAACAGAAACAAACCACAGCAACCTTGAATGAGACTGTGGCTGTCTCTCCATCCAGGATTTAACGATCCTGCGAGTTGTCGGGAGGATTGCAGATGCCTTTCTGCATCTGCAGAAAGATGCCTTTTCCTCTAATGTTACTGACAGGGTGAGCAGGAGGAATCTGGCAATGGTCTTGCTTTTCGCGAGACAGACACCTGACAGCTTTGCTGGGCTCTCAGTTCAGGGAGGATTAACTCCCAGGTTACGCTCAGTTCCTTGACCTCCTCCATGAGGAACTCTGAACTATTTGAAGACAGACATCTCTGAACCTAAGCAGGAAAAACACAAGGACGACACCACCCTCACCGCAGCCGGAGTAACTCCTGCTCCGCTCTCTTTTTCCCATCGCAGCACAGAGTTGGGACGCGATCCCAGTTCTGGGGAAGGGAGCAGGGTTTGCCTGTCCCCAAATCCACCCTGCAGCGGTGCCTGGGGTTAAAGTCTGCCAAACGCTCACAAAAAGAGCCTGACAAAGCAAAGGAGAAAAAGAAGAGCTTTCAAGACTTTCAAGGGAGAAACAAAGCAGCACTGTACAAAAATGACTAGCTCTCCATTTGCTCGTAACCCCGAGGCCAGCTCGCTGCTGGCTGCATGTTAATGCCTTATTAGCTTGCGCTTGGTGTTGTCACCACGCTGCCAGAGGAAAGGACAGAGATGCGAGGGTTTCCAGCACCTCCAAAAGTCCCTCCGCTACTGCAGTGAGGACCTGCCTGCGTTTTGTGAGCGTTTCTTCCTAGCGAGAGCAAGACCTGGCTAAATGCAAAAACCCAGCGACAGGGAATTCCTAACCTGGGTGGCAGGTTTTGTTTGGGATGAGCTGAATTTTAAGGTAGGTCTGACTGATTGCAGGGGTAATCTGCACACTCTATCTTTTCAGTAGAAACTCCATCGAGTTTCAGAAAATTGATGCCTGACAAAAACAGGACTTGGTTTGTTCCTGGCACAACTTTGGAAGGAGGCTGGCATAACTTTGGTATATCAAAATTCCTCCATGTGCTGATAAAAGCAGCAGCAGATTGAATATCGAGCCCTCTTGAGGAAAATTCTGTTGAAACTCGGGAGGTTTTGCCCAGAACCACACTGCAGAATTGCAGCTTCCTCAACTGCACCGACCTACAGGCTGCGAGCCAGCTGCTCGCTGACTCTTAGAGACAACATTTGCTGACATACAAAACCTTCACTCTTTTTGTATTTCATCTCTATTTCTCATCCTCTTTTGCAAATGCTGAAGAAATGACTTGCTCCGAGGCTGCAAAACTACCCTGGCACTGCATTGCAATTCACGGGCACGATGCCTGGGCTGTCTTTGCAGCCCAAAGGACTCCCGGTAGCTTGCTTAACTCTTCTCTTGTTTCTGCTGCCGAAAGGTCTGTAAAAAGATATCCTTCACTTGGTCCATTGTGTCTTGAAACAGTTTAAAATCTTCCCCTTTCTTTCTCCCAGGAGTCTGCAAAGCGGCCTTCAGAGCTTCATTCTCCTCCAGCTGGCTCAGGAGCCTGGGAGGAAACAAAAGGAAACTTTCATGTGAGCTGTGGAGCTTCAAAGAAAATTAGAAGAGTGCTTCAGCTCTGGGGAAAAATACACTGAAGCACATGCTCTCTGGTAATGTTATGATAGGCGTGAGAAAGAGCAGACTTTACACTCGTTCCTTCTCTCTTTGAGATAGAAAAGAGGATTAGATGACCAAGATATTTTTTTCAGATCTGTTTTGTTAAAAGTAGAGCAATCAATTTTAGCTATTGCAAATACCACAGCACGGAGGAACGGGAAACTACCTTGTGCTCAGCTCCTCTATCTGCGATCCTAGAGGCAACGAGGAAAGTGGGGCTGCAGAGAGCTCCTTCCCATCGCTCACATTCAAGGTGAGGCTGGAGTCACTCGCCGACTGGCCTGTAAATTTAATCACCAAATGGAGTCTGAGTAAAACAAGCAACTAGTTTCACTTGGTCGCACACCGAGTAAATCTCAGGGAAGAGTGAATAAATATTAAGGAATCTGCTCAGTTCTGTGTGTATCCATGAAGATACTGTAAGGACAGGCTTTTATTTTCATCTCTTTTCAGACAAATTAAAACATGATGAGTTTGCATTTCAGGGCTAAATGCAGTAATAAGTGTGCCTACCTATGTAGAAAAAAAAAAAAAAAAATCCAAAAATATTTAAGTGGCCAAAACACCAGGTGATAGAAACAGTTGGAAAGGATTACTCTGATGTTTATCTTGTCATTGTGTTTCACTTAAGATATGACAACTGTAGCTTCCTGTGATAATGTTTGTGTGTGGGACACACCAAAAAAGCTCTTGGAAAGCACTTTGATCCTCAGCGTAGACGCAACGTAGGTTAAAAGCAATGAAGCGCTTAAACCTGAATTCCAAACGAAGGTTCTCAATCAGGAACGCTTTCCTAAATAAAAGCCTACCCAAAACATGCAGCATTTCTCCTGTCATTCCACAGGGACACAACATTTTTTTTCAGAGTTATAGAGAAAATATAATTCAAATTTACTACTGGGATTAGAGAAGCAAAAAGCTGTGACCGACCAGTGAACCCCTACGATGGAAGAAGGCTCAGAGAAGACAGGCAAGGATGATGTGCTCGAGAGGCTCGGAAAGGAATGTGGGAAGTGAGCACAGCTATCGTAGAGGATGCTGAACTTATCCCAACACCAAAGGGGCTGGAGAGTGGTCTTTGCTGTAGGTAAATAGCTGAATTTATCTACATTTATTGAGGCTTTCTCTAAAATAATCAATAGAAAGTACTACCTACCTTGAGCCAGCCAGACCAACATGGGGGAACTGTGTCTGTGGTTCAGCCCAACATATAAAAATCAAACAACCAGCAAAATGAACTTTGAAGAAAACAGATTTGACCTGGCATCAACGCATGTATTCCCTTCCAGCAACTGGGGACACCAGTGACAGGAAACATCTAAGCTGGTAATGGGAATCATATTTGTGTCATGATATTACAATTGCTGTGTTGTACTTGTGTTGTGATTTCACTACATTGCTCTATCACTTTTCCAAATTAAATTCCCACATAGCGTCAAATATCTTCAAATAAGTAAATTTGGTATTAAAACACTAAATCCTCGTGTCAGAGAGTATTGGACTCTGACAAAAACATCTGAGGAGAAAAAGCTGTGTTGTATAATCAAGAAATGCTTTTGATCTCGAGGCTGTGTTTTACAGGACTGAGGAAAACCTGCTGTTACTTACCTGTTCTCCTCTGGGATTATTCCTTGCTAATTAGAAATTTGGATATGACAGAAAAAAACCCCAGAAGCATGAATAATTTTAAAACACAACTGGGTTGTTTCTAGCTAGTCAGCATCGTTATCTTCTTCCTTTGAATTGAAGAGACTAGAAACATTAGATTAGTAATTAGATCAACTCTCTCCAATTTTGGAAAGAAAATAAAATATTATGTTAATTAGCAGGTTCTCTAGTCCCTATTTTATATTCAAGCTTTTCATTCCTTCTTATTTCCTCAACTATCTGGGCATGATTTGGATAACCTACATGCTCTGCTGAAGAGGTCTACTGCAGACTTGCAGACTCATTTCTTGTAAAAATTCCATCACAAGGGGCTGAGTTCCCTTCAAAGCACGGTGGTGAAATAGATCGTTACCTACTCAGCTTATGGATTTAGAGAGGATTTCTTTTTATTAGTCTTATTGCCAATCCTTTTTTACATTCGTTTTTAGTTCTTAAGCAGACAAGACTAATGAACTAAATATTTTGTAAGAAGGAACCTGTCTCACCAGTAAGAAAAGCCTGCTTCCTCCGGCTACGAAATGCCAGCTACCCAGGGATGAGTTACCAAACCATCACAACAGCACAACAACTTGACCTAAATGGCTCAGGATTTGGAGGGTTTATCACTGGATCATTTTGAGGTGTCACGGGAAATCTAAGCGGAGCACATGGTATGATAACAGAATAACACATCAACACTTTACCAAGTTGTGTAAAAGTCAAAACACTCAAAAATTCAGGTAAATTCTCCTCTAGGAGACAGCACCAAAATGCCCCAGGCTGGATGAGGCTTTGAGCAACCTGGGCTAGTGGGAGGTGTCCCTGCCCATGGCAGTGGGTGGCACTGGGTGGGCTTTAAGTTCTGTTCCAACCCAAACCATTTATGATTCCATGATTCCATTGAAGGCATGGAGTCAGAGGAAAAACCCTGCCTTTGAGAGCTGTATTCCCACAACTCTCACCTGGCTACTACCTGTCCCTACACACACCCTGATTTCTTCCTGGGGACACTGGCAGAACCATCTGAAGGCTCCAAAGCTTCTCACCCCCAAACCCTGCTGGGAATCACAAAGGGCATCCCACCATCCCTCTTATCAAGACGCATGTCCTATTTCTTAAAGGCCAAAAGCTGCAGCACTTTCTTTCTAAGCATGAGGTTCCTATTCTGATCTAAGTTTTTCTGCAGTACTTTTTCTGCTCTCAGGTTAACACAAGTAAGACAGACAGCTCTAAAAAAAAATCAGTGCTTACAGAAAAATACAGAAAAATGAGCCATTGTTGGCTGGAGCCCTTTCTAAGGACACAATAGTTCTGCTCTAGGGACAGGATCCATATTTTACAGAGGTGAGTAGGTTTCAAGCAATCATTCAGGATAAAGGCTCCTCTGAATCCTGAATTCTCTCTACATGCTGGATGGGTGAATGGCAGTGCTCCCAAATTGAAATTCCTATTCCTACTGTTCATCTCCTGGCATTTAGAGTCTTTTTACTTTATGAAAATACACATAAAAAAGGGAAACCACTGGAAAATTTCCCTAAGAATATGTGCCATTTTATGGGTTTAGACACTTCACAGAATCAGAGTCCTTAAACAATAAAAGGATCTGATCAGGGAAATAAAAACTTAACATCCACCATGAATTCTTCTCCTTTAACTATGCTAGTGAGGTTTCATATTTATAGCAGGAGATTATTATGTTCATGGGATAATAAATTACACCAGATCTAATTACTCCATCACCAGCAATAGTTTTTCATAGACACTGACAGGCCTTAAATTGGGATGCGTCCTTTAATTCTGCTCTTAACCTTCAGCTGAATCTCTCAGGCAGAAGCGCAAAGACAACACAGCAGCGGGCATGGTGGTGACACAGAGAAGTGTCAAATTTTTTCCGTAGACTGTCATCCCATGGAAACAATATATTGCAAAAGTCCTGGTCCTACTTATATTCGTGGCAAAATCCTCTTTAACCAAGTGGGGCCAGGATTTCACCTTCTGTATCAGTCCATTGGCCTGAGTAGGTCCAACTTGCTGTGCCTAAGGTCACGCACTTGTGTAGGTTTGAGAGATAGAGAGTCCCAATGTTGTTGCTGCCTACTAACCACAGAGGTGGGACGAGGGACACAGTTGTAGATCAGTGCTCCACCTCACCTGTTTTGCTCCTCAGGGGAGGTTTCTGTGCACTTGTGTTCCTCCCTGGATCCATTTGCGGTTTTTCAAGCTGCTGTTCCAAAACGACACATCGCTCTTCCTGAAGCCTCTTCTCAGCTTCCAAGGCTTTATTGCTGCCTTCCTCCACCCTGATGTGCAAAAAAAAAAAAAAAAAAAAAAAAGCTCAGCTTATTGAAGTCATGACTATTATTGAGGGTCAGTCTTGATACTGAATCCTGCTTCACGCTCCAACAGAGGGAAAAGTAGAATTTTCCATGCACCCAAAGGCAGAAATCCCAGTTCAATTGTTCCAGATGACATCCTCCAAATGTGCAAAAACAGAATTAACTAATGAGTACAGCTGGAAATAATGGGTTCATTAATGGAGGTTGCTTAATGAGTCCAGTTGGAAATAACAGGTCCATTAATGGAGGTTGCCTGGATCCCCTTAACTTTGGCTACTTGTGTGAATTTACCACTCAGCTAAGCAGGAAAACTCCAGATTCCTAAAGAGAGATCTTTTATTACAGGAATAATAAACTGCATTTTTTTTAAAACACACTGGGAAAATTTGGAAGGAAAACAGTTTACAGAAAGACTGTCTAGCATTTCGCTGGTTTATGTCAGTTATCTGCAAGTAAGAAGCGAAACTTGATGTTGCTTTTGATAAACTTGGCCCTTAGACATGACCGTGGGAGGAAGGGAACGGAGAAGAAAATGATGCTTCACTCTGCAGGACAGTACAGAAGAACAAATGGCCTCTCCACTCACCCCGCACAACGTCTTCGAAAATTAATGACAAAAATTTGACGTGTGCCCACAGATGCAGTCAGTGGTGCATCTCATGTGGAGCAGTGCCTGATACCAAAGGATTTAAAGGAGTTTAAAGTTAGAAAGAAACCTGAATTGACTCTCTGTACTGTATAGTGCAGAATAAAAGAATTTCCTTCTCGACCCCATGGGTGACAGCTGATTACTGCCTGAATCAAGGGACTTGATCAGTCTTATCTCCCTCCGAGCTGGCATAACTAAAAAAATATTATAATAAAATTGTATCACTGTCTTAAAAATCTAGCTACAGGCAAGACTCTGACCTCCTGTGGCAGTGAATTACCAAGCTGGTGACATGCTATGAGAAATTTTCTCTCTCTCAGTGGTTCTGAATTCACTAAACTTTCATTTGACCAGGTGTTCCCCTAGCACCCACGTTAGACAAACAGCGGAGGAAAAATGACACGACTAGTTGATTTTTATTAAACCGTCTACCAAAATGAATAACTGAAAGTGTTCCTCTAGCTCTTCCCTTTCCCCCAGCAGGGCACAATCCTACAAATTGTTTAGGATGGAGTGTCTTCTGACAGTATGTTCTGCTCCTCAGTGATTGTGATTGTCCAAAATTCTGGCAGCTGCTGTCAAAAAATCCCCCTCATCTAACCATTCCCAGTGCTCCTCTCTTGACTTAAGCATTCTGTATGTTCCTTGAGCTTTGCTGAGCCACAAACAGGGCAAGGGAAGAAGAGGAATGCCTGATTTTTTTAGATATATTCACACTGAAATATGACCGGATACTATATTATCCTGAGGTTTCCAAGAGTTATTGCACACAATCTCACTAAATTTACTTTACCTGCAGGAGCTCTTGATAAATGTGTGATAAGCGTGGAGCTGCTGAATCATCAGTCTATGGTACTTTTTACAAGCAATGTGCATTTCATTGACTCCGTGTTCTTCCTTATCCCGTATTCCTGATGGCTCCATTTCAGCTATCACTTGCACCCCCATCCTCACCTAATGGCATAGCTCTGTGAAAGTCACAGGGCTTACAAACATGAATTAAATTCTCCCAGTGTGTATTTCTGGGGTTTAGGCCTTAAAAGCACAGGGGATGGTACCTTTACTACAGTTTCAAAAAAGAAAATGTTTTTCTGACTGTGATTAATTGTACGGGACAAAATTTAAGACAAGTGAGAAATGATAACTAGTGTAAAATAAAGCAAGCAAGCAAATAGTTCCTATCGTATTAAAAAAACACACAGACAAAAGTGTATTTTCCCATAAGCTGGAATAATTGGGAATCAAATAATATACATTCTCCAACTGGGAAAAGAAAGGAGTAGCTAAAAGGGATCTAAAGAGAAAAGACTTTGCTTCCCCTGCCCTCCTAAAACATAGCTGGCTTTTAACATCATCTTAAATTGAACAGAATAATAGAAAAAAAAAAATCACCGCTATGCTTCAGTTAAACCAGAAGAAATTCTTTTAAAAGAGGATACAGTGAAACTTAAAAGAATGTGAAAAGCTTATGGAACAGAAGTCAGATTATAACTATAATTACAGTATTTACTACTGATGAATAATATTGCTGGCTAAATACCACGAGACACATATAAAGACATGAATTCTAGTTTTATCTAGGTGCAGCAAGCTTGACGATGACTCCATTTTTTCTGTCCTTTGTTCTAAAAGAATAATAAAAAAAATGAATCATCAACTAGGCAGGGAAATTGAGCAGAAAAAATGTGAAAGCCCCTATTTAAGGGAAGGATGACACTGGCAGCGTATGGTGTATTCTACTGCATGCTCTAGACTCTCGCACGTCTCAAGCACTCCTTAATCACAGCATCCCACAAAGGACACTGGCAGCATCAGCCGCTACCTTTTCTGCAGCACAGTGAGCAGCTCCAGGAGCCTGTCTCTTTCCACTCCAGCAGGCTGGCGGAGAGCCTTGTGCTCTGTGATCTGTGTCTGCAGCACTTTCAAATCTGGGCTGTCAGTGCCAGCGAGCCTAAAAGCAGCAGAAGCATAGAGAGTCTGTTTCCCTTTTCACAAATGAAAGAAATGAAACAAAGACAGGATTTGAAAAAAAAAAAACAACATATCAAAGTACACTTGTCTGAAGACGAAGCCAGAATGCAGATCCAGGCTCAGGACCTCCCCCCAGCATCAATCTCTGCACTGCAATAAATGGAATAGAAATAAAGCTACCGCGACTTTCTTTTCCTTTGCAAGGATGCTCTCCCTTCCCATCACCCCTGAAAACAAACTTCCACCTCTGATCAATTCACTAGCACTGAATCTCCTCCCATTACCGCCAAAGTAAAAGAAGCCTATATGTGGATTTCTCCAAAGTGTTAGGCGAAGCTATTAAATGGCATGCTATCGATTTTCTCCCTCTGAAAGGCTCCAGGCAGCATTAGTACAATGGCTGTTCTTGTGCCTAATGTGTGATGAAAGGAAGGGGCAGCTTTCCCATGTATCCCATCATTACGTACTTCATTACTTCTCTGACCTCTCTGCCCAGGAGTATTCAGGAATATCTCCTTTAGAGCAAAAAGCATGAGAAATCTTGATGATTGGGGGTGGAAAAGGAAAAATGGGATTTATGGGGCGTAAAACTACCAATCAGTTAAAAAATTAAGATAACGAGAAGATACTAGAGCCTGTGTCAGAGCTCTTTGGCAGTATCAGGTAGGAAGGATAGGAAAGAAAAGAAAAAGGAAAAGGGAAAAGGGAGAGAAGAGAGAGAAGAGAGAGAAGAGAGAGAAGAGAGAGAAGAGAGAGAAGAGAGAGAAGAGAGAGAAGAGAGAGAAGAGAAGAGAAGAGAAGAGAAGAGCTGCTTGTTACAGAAACAAGACAGATGAGGAAAAGGCTTTCCAGCAGCTTGTGTAACATGGCAGGAAACCTCCCCCTTGTTTATGATGAAGCTTCTATACATACCTTCCAGGTGCGATGTTATTACTGAGAAGGAAAGGCTTAGTAGCTGCTGACTCTACGAGCGTATGGCCCATCTTGGACACCGTGCTGGGAGGAAGAAATCTGTGTTACGCACTGAGCTCTACAGAGAACTCTGGTCATTTTCCAAAGTCTATGTTTCTTGCTGCCTTCTAGGGAAAAAACTCCCCCAGAGCCTCCTAAGTGGGCATCACACAGGCTCTGCATCCACAACAGCTCAGCTTGCTCCCCGACTCCAGAACACGCTGTAAAACTTGTGCTTGTTTGATGGTGTTGCATGCTTCCACAACCAATGGAACCCCTGTTCTGCAACAAGGTGCACAACTTTTATTTCCAAATGCCTTTTAAAAATATCTTTTGTATAGTTTTTCTGAACCTTTGTACTTTGGGGAGACTCTCAGGAAGTTCTGTCAGGCTTAATGTTGTAAGAGGAGGAGTTGACTGATAGCACTAGCGCATCACTTCCAGTCTGGATGAGTTTTATGCTTAATGATATGTATGCTTGGGATGTAAAATTCTAGTGTGTGCTTGTTTTCCAAATTTGAGCTCAGCTTCCTAAAGGCAAGTCCCTTTAGACTTAGCCCATGTTTCCTTGTCTTTAGGCTGCAGCTAACAGAGGATGAAGCCTTAATATTGTGGACCAGGCAGAGCTGCCTTCTAGGCTAGGAGTGGTTAATCCTAAAATCGAGTTAAGGTTGCTAACGACACAAGTGGCCTGGTCTAACAATGCAGATTTCTACTCTGACATCTCCAAGGGGCTTTAGTCCCTATTTATAGCATTTTTCATTTCATCTTGCCTGATAGGAAAAGATGATTCGCTAAAGTAAAATGGAATAGAGAGTTCATCAGCATATTAAAGTTAATGGAACGAGTGAGCCCTGCTGATCAAGTTATTAACGGCTCTCAGCAGTTTCCAGGCTCATTCATTGCCCACCTGACATGTCAGCTCTTTCACGACAGAGCTCTGTTAGCCACGTGTACAAGCAGTAATTTATGCACTGCACTTAGCAGCTTCTACAAAGCCATTACCAATCCTCATTTTCCTGCTTGCCTTCCTGCTTGCCATCAGCAGACATATGCAGTAAAAAAGGGGATAAAATATAGATTTGCTCCACGAGAGCACAACTTCTGCAGAGTTCGAAGTGGGAGAATAAAGACAGTCAGAAGGGTATAACAATGGAGATGCAGAAACATTCAAATTAAGGATGTTTAACTCAAAAACACTGAGAAGAACTTTTCTTAAGTTTTGTAGTAATGCTCTACTTAGACTCAGGGATACATCTGATAATTTTAAAGCCAAATTCAGTGTCTGCAGAAATGTGGCAGGTGAGTTAAAATTACACAGAAGAAATCCTTTGCAACTTTAACTTGATGAAAAATTTCCTCCTTCTTCAGAAGACCAGTCTCAAATCCTCATTGTCAATTAGACCATGAACTCTTTAGTAACAAAACCAGCATTTTAACAGGAAAGGATATAACTTGCTCTGGTATTGTGGTCCCTTTACACAGCCAGAGTGACCCAGAGTCACATGAGTGTAAAGAAAAATCAGATTTACCGCTGTGTTAAGATTACTGTAATTTACACAGTCCACAGTGACACTTTAAAAAAGGTGTTTGCTAAGAACAAATGGTGTAGTGTGTTTTCAACATTTCTGCAAGTAAATCCTACTCAAAGTGTATTTATCGATTTAAATAATGTGCCAGTGATTTAGTGCCTCCCTAAAATGGCATTACGTATTAATTCACCACCCTGCTTTCAGAAGTCTGCTCATTAGAAGCCCCATTTCTCATGAAACAGCAGAATCCCTTAAGCTAACCACATAAACACTATCTGAGCTGGAGAAGGAGAATAAGCTGCACTGCCATCATGCCAAATGTAGTAATGTTTGCAAGTATGTGTATCTTTCTCTGTTCCAGGTCAAAAGTCCAAGAGATAACGTGATTAGAGATTCCCAGATACTGTAAACAGGCTGCCACAGCTTTTGGCACATAGCGCTTGTGGTTTGATACAATTGTCTGGGAAAACCGTGCTTCGGAATAACTCACAAATTTACACATTGACATTAGGGTCTTCTTACCGAGCGGATCCAATCCTTCCAATCTGATTGCTGCCTGATGCCCGAGGTTTTAGCAGCCTAAAGCTTGGATCTTCTAAGTGCTCAGAATGTGGGGTATCAGCAGCTTCTGAAGCGTCCCCTTGATGGGCAGAGTTCTTCTGTTAATGTTGGAAGAGTTTATAAAACCCAATTACACAGTTGAAAATAGCTGCATCAATGCCTAATCAGCAGCTTATGATTATTGCTACAAGCATGCCAGAACTTTGGATTTACAGGACCTCCTCAGAAACTTTTCCTGAATTTCTATCCATTGCAAGATGGAAATAAAGCAAAAGTCAGTAAAAAGTGCAATTTCATATGAAATCATAGGATGCACACAGCGTTGCTAGAGAACCCCCAGCACAGCACTACCACTACCAGTGCCCCTACAGTTCTGTCCCTAACCCAAGTTTTTTCTTGGGTTCAATGCTCCAGCCCCCATTACTGTTAATCTGTCAGATACCTCAATCTCACCGTAGCCCTAAGAGGGTTTTGTATCAATGGGAACTGGATGTCTAAATACTCTAAAAAAACCTGATTGTAAGATACCAGACGACACCAGAAGCCTGTGGCAGGTTAGTGGACTGTCTCTCAATTCCTCTGCCTGTGCTCTGGCAATAGTACCACTTGGCTTATGTTTGCAACACTAGACCACAAAAGTTTAAAACATTTTTAACATCTTAGTCCATAAGGGGCCAACCTTCCCAATTATTTCATCTGTACAATGACATTTCCATATGCCTGAGACCCATCAGACTCATATCAATAGCTTGGAGACCAGAGGGAAAGGAATTTCTCTTGCCCAGGGAAGTGGTGGAGTCACCATCCCTGGAGGTGTTCAAGAAACGTGTAGATGTGGTGCTTAGGGGCATGGTTTAGTGGGTTGGGTGGTGTTGGGTTGGACTTGATGATCCTTGAGGTCTTTTCCAGCCTTAATGATTCTATGATTCTATGAATTTTTGGAAGTGATTTACAGTGGGAGATGAGAATAAGTTTCTAGGGGTCCCATCACTCCACGAGGGGATGTAGCTGGGTACCACAGCAGCCTGCTGATGTTGGCCTCACCGACGTTTGTTTGCTAGCTTCCTTCAGCAGCCAAGGATGCTGAATACTGAGAAGTCCCTATTGCAGCCCAGTCCTTGCTGGTCAGTCTTGGCACAAAGCCACATGTGGATGCGATTGGTATTTTTATGTTTTCTGTTTCTTAAACAGCTTGAAGAAAAGTTACATACAAACAGGAAAGGAAATTAAGAGTTACAAGAGAGAATTCCTGCTTTATCATTCCATCAGGACAGACTGTCACTAGGGCAGGTATTAGTGTCTCGAGCTAGCAGCCATCTCAAACAAAAAGGGAGAATGAAGTGGAAGAGCAAATCTAAAATTATTACAATGTGTGCTCCTCTAGTGAATTTCTTCTGACCGCCTACCTGAAGTGTGAGTTGCTCGATCTCTTTTTCCAGCTCTTTAATCGTTGCTTCTTGTTCAACCACCATCCCTCTGAGCTTCTCTATATAGCAGTCTTGTTTCTGCCCATCACTGTTCAAGTGCTGCCCTGGCACCTGCTGGGATTCCTTGTTCTTCTCGTCCTGCTGGCTCAGGTGCTTTAAGATCTCCTGCATTTGCTTCTGTTGGCTCTGGTAAAATAAAACCAACGAGTGAGATCTTCACTTTTGTACACAATGATTATAAAGACTCCCTGTGCATTCTACACCCTCCAAGACAAATACCCATTTAGGAATGCAAGGGCAAGCCACCGCCCTGCCAAACCCATTCCTTGGTGTAAGCACACGGATGTCACTAGCGCTGCTCCAAGAATTTGGTCCGTTACGTTTTAAGCATGAGATCACCTTCTCTTGTTCCCCACATTTATCCATGGAAAGGACTGCACAGCACGTCTACTTGCAACGCCCAGACCCATGGGTGAGGACAGTCTGTCCCCACTGGCCTCTGCTGGGCATATCAAGACTTAAGTGACTCAACGGTGTGAGCAGAAAAGACCTGAGCAACTGAGAGTTTGCTGGCAGCTTTGTTCCTGCGTGTGGCAGGATGGCCTTTGACAAAGAAGGTGACTTTTTCATAAATCGGATAAAAGTAAAGATTTCAGTTAGCTTTCGTGTGAAATTAGAACACATCAGATTGTGTGATGGTGACATTAAAACGCCACCTTAGTCACAAGCATGTCTTAGCTAAAAAATACATACAGAAGCAAGGAAATAGGGATTTCAAATGTGTGAGGAGCTGGATCAGGAAACACCGAATTAACTCTACTAAGAAGCATCATATTTTCTGGTAATTTATTATTATTATGATTGTAATTGGGGAGGACTATTTAGAACCATGGCAGGGCAAATGGATCCTGCAAGACCATGACAGCAGCCATTTATTTCAGCATAACTGCATCTTTAATGTCTACTAATACTCTTGGTTTTGAAGGGGTCAAACCTCTCAGCTCCAGCTACTAAAAATACATATGGACATGGTTGAGTATTCATAGTTCAGTTTGTGTGTTTTGGGCTATGTAACACAACAAATTCAAGTGCAGGACTGCAGGCAAGAAAAAAAAAAATACCAATGGAGCTGAAAACAGAACAGAGAATACAGTCCAGCTTCGTGAGTCAGGAATGAAGCCCTTCCTCTACCTACTAGACAATCCTATTTCAATCCTGCAAAGTGTTTCTTGCAACACTCGCATCTTAAAACCACTTGACTGCAACTGTGTCCCATCTGATGCTGTCTTGCAGCCTTTACCTGGTCTGATCCAAAATGCAGAAGGGCTTTAGCTGACTAGGAAACCTCTGTGTGTCAGAGTTTGATTCATCAGGCTCCTGTACACCCCAAGGTTGTCTGTGTCACTGTGTCATTAAATTACATCATGTTTCATCACCTTTAGAGAGAGGCTGGGACCAACAGTAATAGTCAGACTGTACCAGTAAGGCGTCTACGAGCTCATCGTCGTGTTTTCCTTTCTCCAGCAAGGTTACAATCTGTTCCTTCAGGGTTTTCACTTCATTGCACAGTACTTTGTTCCTGGCTTTGGATGCGTCAAGTTTTTTTTTCACTTCCTCGTGACTTTTTTGGAGAGCATCGTGTTCCCCAGTGAGTTTCTGCAGTGAGGCAAACACATCAGAGGCAATGACAGTGACAGCCTATCACCAAAACCCAGGTCAGCTAAAGGAATCACACATCACCTGGTAGAATCTCAAAAATGGAACTGACACACTATACCACCCCTAAGTAGAAATTCTAAAGGCTGTTACTTGCTGGCTGATTGCATCAAAAAAATATGTATTCATATATCAGATGATGTGATTCTATGAAGAAAAAAGGGTCTGTCTGCTCAGGAATTCAACATTTTCTATGGGGAAGCTCTTTGCCTTCCAGGTACAGGGTGGTGATGCCCCACTGTCTACCAGAAGCTGTCCCTGCCACACTTTGGCCCCTGAGCCGTGCCTTCATCTCGATGAAACTGGGCAGGGAGCACGCTAGCAGTTAAACAGCAATGGAAAAGTACAGTGGAAGTTATTGTGAATGGAGACTGAAACACAAAGGCAGAAGCGTGAGCCACACAGGTTACAGTTCTGGAGGAATGTCCTCCCTGTGCCGTGTGCGTCTAGCCGCAAATCTTCTCTTTCATTCTCACGGCCAGGAGTGAACGGTGTGTATCACCCCGTTCTGTTGCACGGCTAAATTGTGGTGAGAAAAGCAGCGGCTAACCAAACTCTGGTGCCAGGCGGCCTCTACAGAAGCGAACACAGTGAAGGAGCACAGGGAGGTGGGCTTTGCTAACCCGAATATGTGTAGCTGACCCCCTGCTACTCACGGTTCTTGTGGACACAGGCTTATGCATCCTTTCCACCATGGGATTTACTACATGTGCCACTAGCTGTAGCCTCTCTCATTCCCTAAACGCTGGACGCCTGCTTATTTTTGTAGCAACTATATGTGATAGATGTAGGGTAAGACCCATTTTCAGAGTGCCTCTTAGAGGGTGTCTGGTGTAATGCTCAGCTTTATACAGTTCAAATGTAGAAGCCCATGGCCATACAGATATACGAGGTGTGAGGGGGATGCTTGTATTTAACACCGTATGAAGAAGGTACATCTGGCCACAGGGTGGAGGGGATGCTACAGAGCTTGGATGCAGCTGTAGCAGGGCTTCTTCCTACGTATGCCTTCAGCATAAAGTCAGTACCAGCTGCATTGTGACCCAGGGCCTCTCTCCCTCTTTCTACCATCACATATCAGGGACAGTTGTCAGGTGGCCACATTTCAGAGCAAGTGGATGCATCAGCACATGAATCATGCAGCAGAGGGAAGACCGAATCTTGTACTGCAGCAGTATGCCTGGTCACACAAGGGTGTGATACAGAAAACAAGTGTGGAAGCTTTTTGCTCAGTCTGGGAACTGTGGCAGGACTTCCTCCAGCAGATCGGGTGGGTTTCTGAAATGGTCTCTGGGTAGGGTGTAACATACACCCTGAAGGTAAGGCAAGTTATTACACACTATCTATCCAAACAGGACTGCCAGCCCACAGGTTTTTACCTCCAAGGTCTCTTTTGTTTCTTTTTCCAAGCTGCGAATCTTCAGCAAGTTCTTCTCTTGGGCTGACAACTTCCTTGGATCAGTAAGTGATTCCTCATCCATCTCACTCCTTGATGTTCTCGTCTTGTTTTGACCCAATTGATTCTCCAGCTCTCGAACCTAGGGGACAATAATGACAACTCATCCAGAGCCTTTACCAGGAGTACAGTGGTCCAGCATCAGAGAGGACATAACCAAAGGGAGCTCAGAGTATAGCAACATACTACTTCTTGGCATTATCACAGTTAACTAACACAGAGCAGTGTCTGTTCTTTCAAATTTAAATTTGCTAGCTGCTAACAAACATGCAGATATCTAGGGTAGGGGGGAGATAGGACACCAAACCTTCAGGAGACTCCACATGGGAGATCTGTGTCTTATTGAAGCCATATGTGGATTTCAGGCAGATGCTCCAAAGCATCTTGAATGTCACTAAACACACGTGGGCAACAGAATAATACCTTACATCTCCTCTAAAAGGGCAGACACCCACTCACCCATTTACAGTTAAGCATCTCGCTCTCTAGCAGAATCACCATCCAGGATGTCCACACTGCAGACACCCAAGGCACAGTTCAGTAGCCTGAACATAGGCACCTAGCGCTGTTTCAGATGTCCTGGGATGCTGGAGACACACATGACGCAGGATCTAGAAGACATCCATACTCCTCTGGAGAGATGACCAGCGGTCAGAGGGACACCCTACAGCTCCTCGGTTGACATTAGACACCTACATGTGGTTAAGTGAACTCAGCTCCTGCACCTTGGCTATTCACTACAGACTTCTTTTACAGTCTGTAGAAAGAAATAGGCACTGCTATGGCACAGCTCCTCTGCCCTGTTCTGGAGATGCCTTCTAAGATAAGATGCACCTACCTCACTTTTGATCCAGTGACTGTCTTTACAGGGTCACCACTGACTACAGAAAGGGCCTGAGGAGACGGGCTTGGAAAAGAAATTTTTACATTACAGTAGAGTATGTACAGTCTGAATCCCAGCCAGGGGGTCTAATGGAAGGAAAATGTAATTTGCTCGAGGGAAAGGAGAGGTTAACAACTTCAGTCAAGCAGAGTGCAAAAATCACAGTTTCTTGGCAGATAATTAAACAGCAGAAAAATAGGAAAAATATGTATTCAACTGCATGAGGTAAGTTTTATTTAAGAGGCAGACAAAACTGCATTCAAGAGTTAAAGATTTTACTGAAGTTCCTTGGGGAACAACTTGAAAATCTTATCTGGCCTCAATTCTTCCCATCTGACTTCAGGCACTGAACAAAGGTGTCTTAGAGCACAGACACTGACAGGGCTCCTTCTGTACTCAGTGCACAGAGGCACCTTCAAACCACCCTGGGATTTGAACCAGGCTGCCGTAGCCCTCCAAGGTCACTGAACTCCCTCCTTCAACACTGATGTGAAACGTTCCCAGCTTAAATCCTGAAGCTTGCATGTTTTCAGTAAACACTGTACTGGGACACACCTTAGAAGCACGTACAGATATTAATAATCACTTAATGAAGAACTAACAGTATTGTTAACTTAAATTGAGGTAATATCTATACTTAGAGCATCCCAGCCCCCAGCTTACACAGCACCATGCAGGGTCTTCACTCACCTTGCTTTGGAGAACAAGAATTTGCTGGGCTCGTCCACGCCAGCTGCCAGGATTGGTCAAAAGACTTGGAATATTCACATCTTCACCGACTTCGTTTGCTAAAAGCTATGAAAAAAGAGATTTACATCAACAATAAGGCTAGGCTGAGGTATATGTGTTGGGGAGAGGGGAGGAAAAGCTGCTCTCTCTAGCAGGAAACACAAACCCCTGTGTTTACATAGTGGTCTCTAGCTGATACCCAGTATCCCATGTGATGTAAGCTCCTTCAGATCATTATTACAATATGGATTGTTGGTGGTTAGGAGTTTGGCTAACAGAATCATAGAATGGTTTGGGTTGGAAAGGACCTTAAAGCCCATCGAGTGCCCCCCCCTGCCATGGGCAGGGACACCTCCCACTAGCCCAGGTTGCTCAAAGCCTCATCCAGCCTGGCCTTGAACCCCTCCAGGGATGGGGCAGTTTACTAAGCATTACTAACAGTTTTCAATATATGCAATTATTTTTGATATAATGAATATTTAACCAGAACTAAACAGCAATAGAGAGATTGTCTTGATCCACACCCTTGCAATCAGGAATTGAGCCAATCCCTCTTGCAGAATTCCAACACAGCCACGCTAACGAGAGCTAAAGTTAGTATGAAGAACATTTACATTATTTATAAAAAGGTCAGCAGGGTTCTATTTTTAGGACCATATTCTCTATTCTGATCTGCATTGCAGGTCTCTTACGCAAAGTAATGAAACCAAAGGAAACAGAGCACATAGTAGCGCATTAAAAACCATAATGAATCAAAGAGGAAAAGGTTACTCTGGATGTCACTACAGCAAACTGTTTAAACACGTGCTTTAGTTCAAGCGTGCTCTTTAATCCCATTGATTTCCATGGGACTGAAGACAATGTTAAAAGTAAATACATAATTAAATGTTTTGGAAAGGAGGAACGAGCCTGAATGTATGCTTCAAATCAATCACAAACCTATTGTGCTGGACTGGGACTTTCAAACCTTGAAGAACCTGCACCCATCATAGCAATAGAAATAACAGATAAAGTCAGCCAGCTATGGTGGCAGAGCATGAAATCTGTGTCCATGTGCATGTCCTTCCAGTGCAACCACTACACCCATATCATAGAATCATAGAATCACAGAATGGTTTGGGTTGGAAAGGACCTTAGAGATCATCAAGTTCTAGCCCCCTGCCATGGGCAGGGACACCTCCCACTAGCCCAGGTTGCCCAAAGCCTCATCCAGCCTGGCCTTGAACCCCTCCAGGGGTGGGGCATCCACAGCTCCTCTGGGCAACCTGTTCCAGTGTCTCTTCTCACCTCCTTACAGTTCACTGGAATACTTCAGGGAGGCTAATCAAAGCTCAAAAGAATCCTCCTCCTGATTGCACAAGAATGTACCTCTTGCACAGGATCCCAGCCACAGACTGCATCCTGCAGCCATACCTTATGGGTCATCTTCAGCTCCTGTTTTGCAGATTGGAGTTGGTTACGATACTCCGTCACTTTAAAGTTGGCAGTGGTTAATTTTTCTTGCAATGCTTTCACCTCTGGACTTTCAGCCTTTAAAGAGAAGAATGTACTTGGTAAGAACCAAATCCTCAGGGAAAAACTGAAGCGATTAAGTTCCACAGATCCATCAGAATCACAGAATCTTTTTTTCCCAGGCCCATGCAAATGCCTTCCCTAATTTTTGGGATCACAGAGATGGTACAAACAGAGCAATCTGGTGGCAGGGATACATCCTTGTCATAAGGAAAGAAACGCACAATAGGAGAGAACTAATTATCAGCTTCCAATTTCCTCTCAATTACAATTCTTACCAAGTTTCCTTCTACCATCTTCAGAGTTGATTGCTTGATTCCTGCATCAGTACCACCAAGAGAATGTATTTTTTCCACAGCTGTCTGTAGCTGAAGAAAAAAAAAAATACATGGATATTATAGAGTAGATACAGTAAAGAGCCTGCCTCCATGGAAGATTAGTTAGAAAAAAGTACAACTGCAATTCTGATGATCCTGAATGTTTATTTACTCTAGAAAAAAACAAACAACTTAATTTACCCTTCTTTTTTAATATAATTAGTAGGAAAGCATACAATTTGTCCTGAAATGCTTCACAAAGAAGCACATGTTATTTTACTGCAGAAAAACTCCAGTGAAAATATCTCTGACTTGCTGAGATGGGATCAGTTATCAAGTATGGAGACTTCTGTGAGATGTTATCACCATAAGTTCATAAAATAAGTGTTTCTATATATAAATGCAAATACAGGACAGTACAGTACAGATCAGGATGTTGCCTCTGGATTCTGGATGCCAGTTGACCCACTCTTCAGGAAAATCACAAGGAGATTTCATAAAAAGCACACAGTTCTATTTACCAGAGGAATTTAAAAGGAGAAATGACTATTTAGTAATAACGTTAAGGCTCTTTTTCTCTCAACCTGTGAATAAAATGTCTCTTCTTGCTTGCCACAGTTTAGGAAGGCAGGCACACAGCCCCTCCTCCTCTGAATCACGTCCTATATGGAGGTTGCAAAGACTTCTTAGTGGACAGCAGTGCACTGAATTTGGAGCTGGAAGGGCTGGGAAGGGTTTCTTTAAAGGGTTGAGACTTCATTCTTTGAGGTGGGCAGAAAATCTTGATTGTTTGCCTGAGTAAAAGAAGGCTCTACAGAATAGCTTCTTCATTAAAGCGACATCTGGGGAAACAGAGAGTGTGACTCAGACCCAGCTCTAGTGTTGCCCCTTTCTGTGCAAGTAACTCCATGGTTAGGCTGCCCCTTCCAGCCAGTTCATAATTGCTTTTAGTCAATGGACTGAGAATGAGAAATTGCAGCTAGTGTTGGCAGCTGCTACGTCAAACTCTAAGGAAACTTTCTGCAAACATCCATTTGCAGTCTTTGTTCACGTTTACCCTTTGCTAAGTGATTGCTCAATAGCTCAGTGGCCGCACCTTCCATTTGCTTTGTGGGAACATAGTCATGTTAACACACTTAAGATTTACATATTTTTCAGTTTTCATACCAGCAAAGAGCTAACAATTATGGAAAATAACAGTGTTTTCCAGCAACGAAAGTATAGATTGTGATGCATTTGTAAGGTAACATCACCACAATTCATTGAGCAGAGTTTAAGGCATTTAGAAGTAGGTATACAGGATGAGACCCAACTCACAAATGAACACCTTCCCTGCTTTCAGTGTGGGTATCTCTATAAAGAATGGAGTCTAGTCAATACAATCAGGGAAATCTAGTCTTCAGGTCACTCTACAGTAGACACTAACATTACATCAAGTGGATGCACTGACTGTGGGCTCGGTTTTGTTGCCCACCCACAGATGTCTAGTGCCATTTGAAGCATCTGAGGGCATCCAGCAGTCTGAGAGGTCAAGCGGAATCTCAGATTGTACTTACACGCTTATGTGCAGGTAACTGAATTGCACTTCAGTTGCCTTGGTTCTTTCTACAATCAACGGAAAAAAGATGAGTGTGTCTAGACGGTGGTCCAGCTTAGCCGAAGAGTTACTGAAGAGATGTGAATTGCTGCAGGTTCCTGTCTGTGACAGCTCTTCTCTTTCATCCCTCAACATTTTTCACAGATACCTCCCGCTGTCAAACATTGCTTTAATTTTACCCATCTTTTACATCTTCACCTAGTTCTACTGAACAAGTACAAGCCACAAACTCAGCCAGAGAAGAGCCACCACAAATGAGGTTGTGAGAAAGTACAGACCATGACCAGGGCATGGTTTCAGTGGGGTTCACATTGGGGCTCAGCTTGACCTCAGATATGAGAGGTTGCTGCGTTTGGTTTTGATTTTGATGGTGATGGTGTCTAAAGACAGATTAGTTCATATCTAAAGTGTCCATCTCTGCTTTGAGCAGCTTCTTGAATTGAATTCTTGAATTCTTGAAAATTTCAGCTTCCTTTGAGTTGGTTTTCCTTTCCTGAAATGTCTGTGGTCCTCTCTTTTGGGTCAATATCTGACAATATTTTCAGTTTCTGTTTGAATAAGGGTCATCACACTTCTGCAGTAGAAGATTATAACCAAGTTGATTTTTCCTAGAATTATTCACGGTTTGCTCCCCTACTTGTGTGACTTTTTAGGTCCCCAGCTACACCTGATCTTTCTTAGCCAGCCTGCCAACGGTTTGACAAGAGCCCTCTGACCAGATCACTCTGGGTTTATGCAGCAGTTCTCAAAAATTTAATCTACTATTTCTTGATCTTTCAGGTAACTGGGGTACAATTCAGATGCATACATGATCAAAATCTAATGATCTAAGGCTGCATCAAAAGAAGCATTAGCAGCAGGTCAAAGGAGGTGATTCTCCCCCTCTACTCTGCTCTCGTGACACCCCACCTGGAGTGCTGTGTTCAGATGTGGGGCCCCCAACATAAAAGACCTGGACCTGTTGGAGACAGTTCAAAGGAGAGCCACAAAATTGGTCAGAGGGCTGGAGCACCTACAGGCTGAGAGAGTTGGGGTTGTTCAGCCTGGAGAAGAGAAGTCTCCGGGGAGACCTTCCAGCACCTTCCAGTGCTGAAAGGGGGCTGCAGGAGAGATGGGGAGGGGGGAGGGAACTCTTCAACAGGGGATGGAGAGGGTTAGGATGAGGTGTAACAGTTTTAAGCTGAAAGAGGGGAGATTTAGATGAGATCTGAGGAAGAAATTTTTCACTGTGCGGGTGGTGAGGCAGTGGCCCAGGTTGCCCAGAGAAGCTGTGGATGCCCCATCCCTGGAGGGGTTCAAGGCCAGGCTGGATGAGGCTTTGAGCAACCTGGGCTAGTGGGAGGTGTCCCTGCCCATGGCAGGGGGTTGGAACTCGATGATCTTGAAGGTCCCTTCCAACCCAAACCATCCTGTGATTCTATGATTCATAATTAGAAATGGTTGTGAAAGATGAGGTAAAAAAGCATTTGTCAGCATGATAAATATTATTGATCCATTCAAATTACGTCTTCTAAGGAAGCAAAGCATTAAAAATTATCCAAAAATTTTACCACTATTGTGTAAGGCAGTGCAGTAGTAGCCAATGGACAAAGTAAACACTGAAATCAGGGCATCTAGCTTTAATTTCAGCAGTCACGTGAGTAAAATTATTCCTGTGAAAGGTTAGCACATATAAAAAAGTTGTACTACATCACAAAAATAAATCTGACTGAGTGAAGATTTGCTGTCTCAAGTGATACAGTTTGTTACTGTCTCAGTTCTGGTAGTACTCATGCCAGAAAACAGCTTTCATTATGGGGATGAATAAAGCTTAGAAGAATAGAGCAGTAATTCACGACCGGTTTTAATGAAGTGGGAATTTAAGACATAATGGTATGAAATTTGCTCCTCCTCACACAAAAAAAAAAATATCAGAAAAATATCACTGCCGTACTGCTAGAAAAGCCTCTGTGTTTCTAATACAAGTGAACATTCCTAATTGGTATTTCATAAATCTTTCTCTCATTATAACTTACTGATAACCTTTCCTAGCTCCATCTTCCTGCAAAGGTAGAAACAGCTGAGGGCACACATCCCTCTCTCCTAACATGGACAGAAATTATGAGAAGTCAAAGCAAGCATGGATGCAAGAGCAAATTCAAAACGGGAACATGAATTAAACCCAGTTTCTACAGCTCCTCTATCCCAAAAGCTGGATGTTTTAGCATGCAAAAAGAGAACAAGAAAAATGCCTCACTTCTTTCTCCAGCTCCTTGACTTTGTTATTCAGCTGCTTCACTTTGGCTTTTTCACTCTCGTTCTCGGCAGTTATCTCACGATTCTTTTTGGCCAATTCAACTATTTTAGTAGCTGCAACATCTGCGGCCAAACCAGACGCCCCTGAAAAGTACACATAAAAGCAAAGGACACATCTTACAGGCAAGATTCAGAATAGATGATGCTTTTGTTCTCTGTCCAATGCACAATGTACTTTTATTGTCTAATCCATTTCTCTCAGAGCTGTGCCAGGCACTTAAATGACCAAGTGAGGGAAAAGAGGCATCAGCGATTCCAGCTGGCTTGCCTGGTTTTTGAGTCAGCATCACATTGTGGCTAGCAAAGCCACATTTCACACTTCAGCAACAGCCACGTGTCAGGAGGCTACAACAGTGGTCGTGGCAACATTTCTGTGTCGAAAGGGTAGAGGTGTTTTCTGCTCACTGCTGTGAAGTAGTGTTACGAGCAGGTTTTTGCAGCATCTTACAGAAAAAGACAACACACTGGTTGTTTACTACTGGAAGAGCTGCTGAAACAGAGGTGTGAACTTTTCTAGACATCTGTCTTAAAAGGTCAGGCACACGATTACACTTGGGTCCTGGATAACCTCCAGGAAATGTCATTGTGCCTATTTATATGTCCCTTGTGATTATACATGGAGTCTTACTGTATTACTCTTTTAATTGCTCTTTTGAACAGATACGTCATTCACCTCCTCATCAGAGAGGGTTTGATTAGTGTCACAAATAATCTCCAGCACTGGCTTGTGTGTCTCTTGGCTTTCGGTAACATCACATAGGTGAGGAAAAGTTCTTGCACAAGTGCAAAATCAATGATTGCACACAATGTCCATGGAAACCTCTAGCTCAGCAACAAATCTGAGCCTGCAATAACAAATCCTTGGTGGGATATGTGAGTATTGAACTTGGCTGTTGTCATTCAACTCTTTCATCCTCCTTCAGTGCTCTGAAGTAACGACTTTTCTACTGACATCTCTGAAGATTGTAATCAAGAACTGGAGTGAGATACAAGGATGAGAGATCACTCCTAAGTGAATTCTGAGTCCCATAAAAACCCCTATAGACACTAAAGGGGCTATGTGGAATATAGGTGAGAACAGAATATGACCCCATGTCACTATTTTAAAATGTACAGAAAATCATAAATTCATTATTTTTAAAAGCATTTCCACTATTCTTACTCCTTTATGTGACATGTTTCCCCTCGTTCTCCCACATACAAGCTCCATTTTAAGAACGAAGATTTAATTTAAGTGTTATTTAGTTCTGCTTCTTGCTGGTTTCCCCCTTCTCCGCTAGCCTGGTCACCGCTGCTGTCCTGAACAACAGTGGCACCCAGTGGAGAAGGCGCAGCCTGCACAGTTCAGTTTTCAAAGGATGCTCAAACCACTTTAGAAGCTGGACTTTGCATTCAGCCAGCATCCTGCGTGTGCCCTATTCAGGCATTCAAACAAAAGGAGCCTGAATAAAAGAATTTAACGCTATACAGCAGGGAAAGCTGCAACAATGCTCTTTGAAACCAACAGAAAGTTTTCTAAAATATGATTTTATTCCACATGTAAGTGCTATCACGTCAAACCATTGCAAGGATTTTCCCTCTGCAAATAAAGCAATGAGACTCCTTACGTGGATGTTTAGCAAATGCAAACAGTGTCAACTTAGACCCTTGCAAGTTTAGGCAGGAACTCTAAGTGTGGACTAAATCCACGCCCAGGTGTCTATTTTCAAAGTTCAGAGCTCAGTGGTTTCAGTGCTATTGCAAATTACTGCAGGCTCAGCAGAGAACAGTTCTCTCTCAGCTGAGAGCTGAATTTCCATTCTTCCTAGCAGAAGCTTATTACAGGAGTGGAAAGGGAGGCAAGCACAACATGACTGAAATACTTCTTTTTAGTGTAAAGCAGGTAAAGAGATGTCACATGAATATTTTCCTGCCAGGAGCTCACAAAGAAATCTTTATCCTGCTTCTATTGTCATCAGCATCAAGCAAACATAGGAACTAATATAGTGAGAATACAAACATTATTGTGTTTACCCGACAAAGCCAATCTGTCCTCCTGTATTTTTTTCTGGAGTTGCTTTATTTCAAAATCTTTCTCTGTCAGCAGTTTGTATAGTCTGCAGTTCTCATCTCGGACCTCTCGAAGCTGATTCTGGAGCTCCTCATTCTCAACCTCAAGCAACCTGTGAAAAAATAAACTATAATGGCCAATGTCACTGTAATGTGCTTCAAATAGATGCTTCCAGAAATAAAATAATGAAATGACTGTATGCTAGAAGAGCTGAGCTTACCAGGAGTGGGTTTACTGAATTAAGCAGAATATCTTTAACCTCAAAATACAAGCTAATGACCTGATCTATTCAGTTAACTTATTTCTTCTTCAAAAATTCTCCACTTCCTTATGTTGTCCTGGGCAAAACATCACAGAACAGGTATCTTTTCAGGGGTCCTGAGGTTACTGAATATTCTCATCTCATTCAGTCTGACTTATCTGGTTCTTCAGAGGAAACCAGGCAGGCTCACCATTCAGCATCCGTGACACTCAGGATTTTCTTTCTACACTTAAACCAAAGCCAATAGCAGCCAACAGAGCATTAACTACAAAAGCTGCTACTGAGGTTCTTTCTTTAAAAATGAATGCTTCACAGCGATTCACAAAAGACCATTTTCCTGTGTCCTCATCTGATTTTCTTGGAACCTTACCAGGATGGACTGAATTTGTATTATTAATGTTGCTTTTTGGAATTCATTTAGAAATAAAGAATATCAAAAAGCCCTCTGAACAGGAGGAAATAGCCTTGCTTCTCCTGTTCTTCAGTACATTTAGTAACATTTATGGGTTCCATCTCTCTAAGACATCCAGAGAATTAATACCTTGAATCTCTTTGCTGTCCTTACATGATGGTTCCTCTGAGTGTAAAATCTAGAAGGTAAGGCCTTGGTGACTCCATTCAATTGTGGGCACTCAGGCATCTGTTTGAGATGCCCCAGGATTATCTGAGTGCCCTCCACGAGGCCAGCAGCCACGACACAGGGTCCTGGGAAAACTTCTGGGACCCAGTCAGAGAATCGAGAGCATCTCAGAGAGCACTTGCCACCCATGTGTGGACACACAAACCAACCCCAAGAATTACTAACATCCTCCAACTTTAGACATACCTTTTTAGCCAGAATCCTCCAGACAGCTCTGTTTCAGAACAGAAATGAACCAGAGCAGAAACCAAACGTGCTAAGAGAAGCTGTACTGACACTGCCTTTGGTAAAAACGTTTGTGGGTGAGACCCTGCTGGACTCAATTCAGTTACCCACACAGAGGGTACCCACTGCTGATGGGTGCAGGTCTCCTGTGTCCTGTCTATCACTCCCACGTGGAAGTTCCCGATAGCCTAGGGCATCTCAGATGTCCCTGGACACAACTGAGCCCTAGATTCTCCTTATCTGCAGCGTGACCCTGGATGTCTACATTTTGGTGACTTCATCTGGCACAGTGTCCCACCCCTTTGACCTACAGACTGATTGCTCCAGGCTACAACAGCACTAGGTAGCTTGGATGATCACAGAGATTTGGATAAAGCCCAATTGTTGCAGTATCTACCTGTGGCTACAGACATATCCACAGCCCCAGACAAGTCAGCTATCTCAACAGTTACCTAAATCTTTTCTATTCAGAAGTTTTAGCAAGCTTTTTGCTCCAACTGGGCGCTGGAACTCTTAAATGCACACTCCATATGTACCTGTCAGAATAAATGACCCCTTAGAGCGCTGCCATGAACAGCTCAGTAAATTTATGACACGATTCACAATCCATAATTAAGCAATGTACTTCTGTTTCAAAGCTGCAAATCAAAGGGAGATCAAAGGCAGCTGTTTACAAAGGAGAAGAAAGAAACCAGCAATCCGAGCAGGGAAACGGCAAAACTAAGTTATTCCCAGAAGTACTACTCATAGATGCGAGCAATAAAACTGCAGATTTAATTAGAGATACATGGACAAAAAGATTTTTAATAGTTAGGGAATTCACATGAAAAAAGCGTTCTAAGCTCTTAACGCATCTGATCAGTGATGTCTTCCTCAGAGCTGGCTTCCAAGTCCTGACAAAAAAAACTTAGAGTAGGATGGACAGAAATCCCACCTGCACAGAGCTGGAGAATCCTCTGAGAACCTTCTCCACCCCATCCCATCGATCCCATCCCATCCCATCCCGTCCCGTCCCATTGTGACTCTACACGTTACAGAGGAGGCAGCAGGTTCCATCCAATGGCCCAGCTGTGGAAAGTCATCCAAAAGGAACAGGCTGCAGAAAGGTAATTTTTTTTTCACTCTAGTTCAAGGAAACAGAACCAGGGGAAGCTTGTGAGCAAGGCCCATGGCTGAAATTCAGGTGAGTGTCTTTCCCAACTTTGTTACAGATTCTCCACGTGACAGGGAGAAAAATACACCAAACAGAACAGGAAGGATAAAGTTACAGAAAGAAGAAAACAGAAAGAGAGAAATGTCAGCTAAACACTCGCCCAACCAAAATTTGGGAGTAGGATGGGAGGAAGGAAAAACAAACTCAGAGGCAGAGGAACTTCTGAGAGGAGAATGTTTTCCAAGCGCTACTATGAACAAGACGGACATGCTGAAATCACTGCAGACCATATGGAGTCCTGTTATTCTGGAACAAGTTTCTAATGCGTTGTCATGGGAATATTGCAAAGTACATCCTGGTAAATCCCTTCCAGAAGCAAATCCTGCTCAGATTTGATACACTCATAACCACTCTTTTGCTGAAAGCAGCATAAGCGAGGGACAGTCCAGATGAATCTGTTACACCCGCCATGTCAAATGGGGACTTTTCACAGTCAGTGCCACTGAAAAAGGAAGTTGTAGCTCTTGAATTACTCAGACATAAACTATTGAACCATAAAATGGCAGAGAACTTGGCAAATCAAGACAGCCGTGGTGAGGGACCTGTGTGTGAAGAAGACAATCTATGATGCAACAGTGAGAGCATTAGTTTCTAGAAGGTCAGCTCCCTGTTTCCACACAAACCTCCTTTGCAGTATGAACACCACATTCCCAGAAGCACCCGAAAGCTTCAGTGGTTCACTCCTGGGTTCCCTGCATCTTCACAGAAGCTCTGCTGCAGGTTACGCACTTGGGCGTTCAAGGAAGCAGCCGTCAGAAACAAGCTGAGCAGGGAGTTGCCCAAAGCAACAGAGAGGAAATATCAGCATTTAGGGCCTAATAAAGTTTAGTTAGTGGCTTGATAAACTTTGGTAGAGGTGCCCTTCCCCACTCTGGATTCTGGGAGGGGAAACTGTCTCAAAGGTATATGGCTAGCTGTGGTTTTCCACTCGTGATCTGCTGGTTTTGGCAGAGCCACCAGTTCCCCCTTCCTGCCCCTGTATCACAGTACCTCACCCCATCACGGTGCCAGTAAAAGTCTGGGGGGCTAAAGCTGTAAAAAAAAATATTAATTGGGTCAGAAAGAGAGACTGACTATATCCTAGGAGGAAGATGAATGATCTGAGCTGGGGTTTCCAATCTCTGCTCCAGTAAATTGAATTATGTACTCAGCTCCGAAACCAAGATCAAGGGAAATCCACACCAGAACGCCCAGTGTCTGGGTAATCCAGATGCTACCCCAACGGGTGAGATAAGACCCAAACACCTGTCCCCAGTAAGATTTAAAATCCTACCTCGTATAACCCTGTTAAGTATCTTAACAGGAGGGAACTCTGTCTGGGAGACCCTCCTATATAGCTGGCTGTCTTTGATCTGCTCAATCAGGTTCTATTGCAAAGACAGCCAGGGGAACACTTTTTTGTGCTACAAGCCTTTGGCTTGCACCCATTACTTGCTTTGCCCTTACCTGTCTTTGGAAATTATTCATGTAGGGAACCTGTTTGTTTACAAGGCTAGGCAGGAGCTCACCAACAGTTCTGAGGATGTTAGCGATCCTGAATGACTGGATTTTGTCAGAGAGCACCGAGCTGCCCCTAGCATGTGACCCTTAACCCCTCTGTCCTTCTGCTCTTCATCTGTGAAACACTGATAGTAAAGAGCACATCACAATGCTCTGAGGATAAACATGTTGGGGACAGCAAGGGTCTTCCTGGGATAATGAAAGCCCAATATGTGAAGACAGAAAGTGCTCTGGCAGCTTCATATGAGTTTCATAAGAACATAGGCAAAATATACTGTGACCTCCTGAAGGAACGGTGCTGCTACACCTTTACCTTTTGCTGTTATCTTCATTTACAGGTTGTCCTGTGTCAAGCAGGTTTAGATCATTTGGGATTCTGAAGGTCTCCTTTGGGTTGCCATTATCACCCTTCTGACTGTCCTCCTGCTTTTCCTTCTTCCTCTCCATTAGATTTTGCAGCCGCCTTTGCTGTTGTTCTTGATAAGCCTTAAACTGGCTTTTTAAATGTTCAGTCACTTTTATGTCCGACTCCATTGTTTACTAAAAGCACAAGAAGAAAATAAAAAGTGACAGAGAGCAGAGATCAACACCGCTTTGAAAAACATTCGCTTCTAGCAGCTGCTTTGTAGTTCTTCCTCGCTGATCTCTGCACAGTCTCCCTGCCACCTCCTCCTCTCTGCCACTGTGCTTTCCACCCCCACTGCCTGGCTTTAAGAGCCTTTTTACATACATGGCAAACAGCCTTCACAAAAAGGTTTTGGGTCTTTTTCCCCTCTAGCATTCAAAAAGCAATGTTTTCAAATGTTTTTAAAGAGATTTGTTTAAATAAATATTTTTACAGAAGAGCAAGTTGGGGTCAAATCCAAGCGAATGTGGCAACCATGTTATACTGACTAAAAGGAGCACAGGCTCTTGGCGACCCAGGTCCACCCAGCCTTCCTTCCCACCTTTCACAGAAAGGTGCAGATCCTCCCATTTTTGGGTTAACATGGGGACTGTCAGGAAGAGACACCTCTGGTCCTAATGCTCCCTTTAGGCACTAGACACAAAGACTGTGGCTTTCATCTATCCCCCAAATTTCTAAGCATGAAGTGATAATATTAAAGTGATAATATTTCTACCCATTTAAATGTCTAGAGGTTTACTTAGTATGACTAAAGACGATCAGTTTCCTGATGTATTCCAGCTCCCTCTCCTTTTGTTTGACATTTACTGTCAGCAAAAATGTAGAGCACCTTTGGTCTAGGAAAAACTATCAATAAAAACTTTAAAAGGCACACCCTCCACTGAGTAATTAACACAGGCCCTTTCTCACACTAAGCCAGCAATCATCCTGATAAAGTGCCAAAACACACGCTATGTCCCTGTACGTACTGTCGAGGCAGAGATGCATTACAAGCAGCTTTACCTCCACCCCTGCTTCCAAACACCACGGGTGTGGACAAGATGCACTAAGAACTGACAAATGCAAAGAGCTGAGTCTGGTACCTCCACAGAACCGCCAAACCTCCTGGGTATGAGTGATGGCCTGGGGACAACCTTTAGTCCTCCAGCCTACCTGAGTACCGACCCCAAACCTAGAATCACAGGATGGTTTGGGTTGGA